GGGCCCGGGCGGCTGGGAAACCCGCACCACCAACGGTGGGGCCTCAGGCTCTGGCCCTCCAGCTTCTCTGCGTGACAAAACCACACAGCCCCTCACACATTTTAAGTTTACATATAAATTTTTCAATAAATTTAATAATCACAAAGGATACGATCACCAGAATACCGTGAACATTAAAAACTCTCGCATCCCTTTCGTAACACAGCCAACTGAATGTGTGCCACACCGACCTGCCGCTCACCGCCACTCATCTAAACAGCACATAAACAAACTCTTCAACTTGGAGATTTTACAGCTTCTTTTCCTTTTTAAATGTGTATTTCCATTTGACTTTTCCCTAGAGATTTTGGTCTTGATATAATTGTTTTATGCTTGAAAGTCTTCTATTGATCACCCTACCATATTTCTTGGCCACGAAAATAAGCATGTAAATAGGAACACGTTTTGAAATTCAAAAAGTTGAAATAAAAATATTTCAATTTTTTGAAACCATAAGCTATAAGTAATTTAAAAACAATACTTCAGGATTGTGTTATCATTACAGTTATTATTAGGATATCATCATATACACAATAACAATATCGTAAAGTGTATTATAATTTTGGTAGAAACGTAATGTTCATAAATAAGCAAGACATTACTGGAAATGCATCTCTTGATGCCACAGACGAGGCTCCCTCTCTGTTCATTCATGTGTCCACGGATGAGGTTTATCTATTGCTGGAATGAAAGAGGGTTCAGCACGCCCCTGTCCCTGTTTGTGGCTTTGCAGACATAAGTGTTGAGAGACCCTGTCACATGAACAAGTAGGTGGAAATGGGCAAGTTTTGCTAGAGTAACGTCACTCAATTCTCTTCATTCTTTCTGAATAATATGCAAAAAAAAAAAATCACATAGTGATCTGCCACCAAAAATTAGTTTACTGTTCCACCAGCTGACAACTCTATCAACTCCTGCAGTTTTGTTAAAAATAAAGGCCTGGGAACCTTCAGCCCTGCAGGGACTTGCTACCCAGCCCTTAGGCACTGTGGTTCTCAATCCCCGCACTGATATTCTGAGCGTCCTTTTGTGTGGTGCCCTGGAGGCTTTCCTGCTGCACTGGGATGTCCCGGTCAGAGCAAGGTAGGGCTCAAGGTGGGCTTGGGTCAAGTGGGTGGAAGGCAGCTGGGACAGGCCCTAGCTGAGGGACACGGGCAGACAAATGTGTTTCAGGGACGGGAACACATCTGGGTACCTGGAAACTGTGTCTACTTTCCCTGGGGAAGTCTCTGCACATCCGAAGGACTGGAGGTAGGTGGAGGGCACACTGAGCTTTGCCCCAAACCCTGACAGGTGCTAGATCTGGTGCCACTGCGCAGGGAAAGGTAGAAGCATCTAAAAAGAAACAGGACTGGTCCACATACCCCTTGCCCCATCCCAAGGAAAACAAAACTTAAAAAATAAAGGTAGGACCGAGGCCTAGGCTGCCTTCTACTGCGAGGACATGTTCCCCTGTAGCATCTTCACTGACCAGGATTTAGCCAACCAGAGAAGCTCGACTAACAGCCAGTCCTTCAGGTTAACCTCGTCTCTGCCTGAGTCTCTGGGTAACTGCAGTTTAATACCTGAGGTCCCCTTAGGGCTATGCATAATGAACTTGATTTTTTTTTCTTTTTAAATACATAATTCCTGCTCTCTCCCATATTAAGAACCAAGATTTGACTCACTAAGCTGAAATGCCTTCCCCCCTTTACTACCCCTCCCCCTACGCTCTTGGCCTCGATGGCCAGTGGGAATGTCCATTGTAGAAAATGTATTAATGTTGGTCTCCTGCAGAACAACCTGCAGGTAATTAACAGGAGTTGGACCTAAGGTAGAAGGTCGGTAGCGGGGGCTCTTCCTTGAATTAAAATTTAACTTACCCTTTATTGCAACCTACAAAAGCAAGTAATGAGCACTAACATTTTTATTTCTTTTAAACTGTCATTTAGGCTGTAGAGGGGATAATTACCTATCTCTAGTGTAGTGGGGTTTTATAACCCTTAGTGAGGTATTTTCTAATTTAATATTTTTACTATATTATCATAAAACCTGTTTCTGGGGGGGAAAAAAGATCATGGATTAGCAGCCATTTTCCACAGACAGAATATGTGTGTGTATGTTACGATTCGGTTTATTATGTGACTCTTCTAAAGAGATTTAAAGTATGCA